AATTGAAACGAAATAGCTCTCGTGCGCTCGTGGCGAAATATATTCCGAGTGACTCGAGCGCGCGCTTGTGCCAAGGTTGAGGGATTTCGCGGTGATAACAGTATAAGGTAACCTTATACTGAATTTTCTTGAAATTTTATTGAGATAAAAATTAACGTTTCAACGCTGACTTATTTCTAGCGTTAGTTGCACAAGAATTGTATGAAAAATCAATTACAAGTAGTGCAAGCCTTCGCCGATAGATGGCGAGTACCTTCATGTGTAAATCTGCAAGTGGTAGAGTCAAAATAAATGTATAAATCGAAGCAAGGTTGTGTATCATTCAAGCAAAATTGTTGTATCATACTAATGCTTATGCTCACGCGCATCATTTTTGTACGTACAAAGTTGAGTTCTTCCACGAGAAGGAAAAAAAACTTTCTTCGCTTTTACACTAATTTTAAAGTAAAATAATTTCAAGAGTGTAAAGCTCGACTCGTTGGAAATGATCTCCGATCGTTCCTGTCTTCGGCTGCTTGTGCCGCTTCAAATGCATTCTCCCGCACGAGTGATCGATACCTGCTCGTTCGACGAAAGAAAAAGAAAACTCGGGAAACGAAAGAGGGAGGAAGAGGGCAGAGAGAACAAGATTTAATCTATTTATAGAATAATTCATCCGTCGCAGCAGCGATGCGCGCAATGCGCGCGGACATGTATACGGAATCGCGCGTATCATACGTGCACGGCTATTCACGTTTTATAATCGAGGAAAAATATTTCTCCGTCCAAAGTGCCTTCCACGATATCGGAGATCGTGCATATTTCATAATTAAATGCGTCGTACATTTGAATGCGTTTACGCGAATCGATCACGGGTGGGATACGACGTTTTTTACCGTAATTTTTGCCTTCATTCTAAACACGTTTCATTACAATGCCGCATTATATATATATACCCGAAGCACATGTCGAGAGGGTCGATCACGTGCGCGCGTTAACTCTCCGTATAGTCCTTGTATGCGTATGTGCTGTTTGGGTGGTGTGCGAGCTGCCACTAGCTGCATAAACAAGTTACACACACACAGGATGGGGTGTATAGGAAACGATCCTTGCGCGACGTGTCGAGGGTCGAGCCAAAATCAATCAAGACACAGGGGCGGGGGGCGGCCGATTGACCGAAGAGAGAGAGAGGAGGCCGATAACGTTGATGTAGTAGCACCTCATTCTCGCAGGTCGTATACGTATGTGTGTATGTCCTTACGCACACACTACAGCGCACACGAGTCCTGCACACGTCGTCCATCGGCTTGATGAGGGATGATACGATTCTCTCTCTCTCTCTCTCGAACGTATACGTATTATACATACGTTGCCTGTGTACATATATATATAGCACGAGGCGATCGTAAATGTATGCGGGGGACTGGATTTACCAGCGGCAACAATAATACGACCCGTGTGTGTGTCTACCAGCCGAGCTGGTGTTTGTAGGCGTAATTATTGTATCCTCTTGCGCGCTTATATATACGACACTCGCACACGAGCCTCGTGCCACCTCATATAGTGCGCCCTGCTGTGTATGGGTATTGGTGTAAATACCCGTTGGCTGCTACCGTTGGACAAGAAGGACGACGACGACGAGGGCGCAGAAGAGCGAGAATTAGAGATTAAAAGCGTTCGAGTGAGAGCGATGGATTTTTCATCAAGAGAAAAACGACGTGGAGCCACGTACGTGTGCGCTCGCGAGCGTTTATTTCCCGGAGTTTTTCGTTCTGTGTTTCGTTTTTTTCACTCGTTTTAATTTCGCCCTGATTAAAATTGCTTTTAAAAACGGCCCCCGTTTTAAATGGCTCATTAATTATTCGCCTCGTCGTATGTGTGTATGTGTGTGTGAGCGCGGCTAAAACTGGAATACAGGTATATGTATAGTGACTTTTGAGATCGTCGAGCGATCATTGACTCGTTGCGAGGGGCAAATAGATTAGATTTCTTCGCATACATATATATAAAAACTTAATGAAGCGGACGAGCGAAACAAAATACGCTCAAGCTCAATATAGTATTCCGTATGTGTGTGTGCGCAATATAAACGTAGATACACAACGGGGGTCGGGTGAGGATATCTCGCGGATGCAAAGCTATAAATAGGAAAAAAAGTATATACGGTACACGTATAGTGGTGAAACTTTTACTCGTACACACATGTGCGCGCGAGTTGTATATCTTACGTGTATACGTTTATATACTTTTGCGCGCATCATATATGGTAATGGAATGGGAGGAAACGTACGTACGCGCACGGAGCGATGCGTCGCCGATAAAAGACAATGCAGCGAGAGACAGCAAATATGTGCGCATGGTGGGCAAGGCAAGAGGGACTCTTGCGTTGTGTTGTGTGCAGCGAAACACAGTTGTAGCAGCACAGCGAGCTAGATGCGTGTACGTATAGGAGTATCGTATAGCTCGCGCGGCGATGCACTCGAAAGTAATCGAAATCCAAAGAACCGATGTCGCTACATGCTGGTTATACTGGCTACGCTTGGCCCATTTCCCCATTGCGATAGTTTAGCCCTGCCGAATTGAGGGGGAAGCGAGGGTTTGTGGCGCCTTGTATATACAAACGGACGGAGCTGAGTCAAAAGAAGAAAATGAAGCGAATGAGACAGACCGCAGTACGAGACGCGAATCATTTGCGGGCGGTGATTTTCATTAAGCGTAAACGCTCGACGACGCGGTACTGACTTTTGTTTCTTTTTACATTTGTTTAGGGAAATGTAAGGGAGGCTCGGATTGATTGATCGACGCGTCAATTTACCGAGAGTACGCATATTGATCCTGCATGTAAAACCGAAACACATGTGTCTTTGCCACCCTGCATATGATCTCACACTCTTCCTCCCCGCACGATGTTGTAAACAAAGTATACAAGTTGCTGCATTGGAGTGGGGTGGAAACAGAAAAGATGCTGCTACACCCTGTCCTATTTTTTCTCTTTTTTAACTTACACACGGGATGCGAAAGAGGAATTTGATTTTTACTTGATAAGCAGCAGCCAGCAAGAGAGTACACCCGAATATAATACGTGTACTCGAGCATTTGCTGTGTAATACGTCGAAAATTTCGACGCACAGATGGGCTGAGATATAAATCTTTTTATTTTTTATCCAACAAAAATTTCGTATATATTTCTTCCTCTTCTTCTTCCTCTTTTCATTTTTGGATGTGTGTGGAAAGAGAGGGTATAAGGAAACAACATTTTTACATGAGTACAAAGCGCAAGATGCGTCGAGAGGTAGCGGCAGTGGAAACGGGAGAAAAGTGCTTTTTCTTTTCTGAAAACAAAAAAACGAAACAAAAAAAACAACGAGAAAACAGAAGAAAATAAATAAATAAAATAATACAGAAAGAAAGGAACGAGAAATCGTAAGAGCTGGCAAAAATACGCGCAAAAAATCTTCTGGGCGCGTACTCCAACACACGCAGGATATATCCTCCGTATATATATATAGCACGCAACTCGATTTCTCTCGAGGCATAAATGCTCGCCGACGTGTAATAGCTACTGTGTCGTCGTCGTGAGTATACGCGCGCGTCGCAGCAACACACGCGACGACGACGACGACGACGACGATGTAGCACGTGTTGCCACTGCTTATGCTTTAACCAAAAAGCGAAATACGTGGGTGGGTGTGTACGGGTTATTCAGCGGCAGCAGCAGCAACTCGTCTCCTCTCTCTCTCTCTCTCTCTCTCTCTCTCTCCGTTTTTGGGGGGATGGGCTCTCTGCTGCTACTGCTGTACGCGTCGTTATTGGTAAAGTTGTCGGAAGAGATAGCTAGGTAGCATGCTGCGACATCACCGGTGTATACACACACACACACACACACACACACACACATCGTGCACCAACAACACAGCAGTAGAAGTAGCAGCAGCAGCTAGTCTTCAAAATCCTTGCTCAACACGTGCTTTTCATCTCTCTATTTTAACGTATACAAAAATGTGTATCGTGTACCTACACGAGTTACCACTTCTCGATGCGTAAAAACGATGCAGATCGCTGAAGAAGAATCGAAACCATCTTCAGAGACACTATAGTACGCATACTGCGCTTCATTTATAATAATTGAAAATGTATTTTACCACTTGCGGATTTACAATGCTCCATCTGTTGAAAGAATCAGAAAGCTCACAACCACAATACACACTTGTTCGAGCTGAAACTTCAAGAAAATTACACAAAAAATTAACGTCTGAGTAAATTATAAACTCGATATAAAAGTATGTCTTAGCATTGTAACAATTAAAATTAAATTAATTTAAATTGAATGTATTAATGCGCTTATGTTTAAGGGATCATTCTGGGTTATACCACCCAAATAACATGTGTACATGTAAATTTATCATAAAAACTCGATTTTTTTCAATTGATTTATTAATTTGCTGTACCATTTCAAGAATTTTCAAATAGTACCAAATTTTGAATAATCCAAGAAGTTTGAATAAATTTTTGATAAATCTGCACGTATTCTTTGAGCGAATCTTACTTTTCCCTTTGTATTTTAATAATTTTATACCTCTTTTTCGTTAATTCGATGGCAGTCGCATAAAAAATAATTTAACTTGCCCATTATTGCATCATTGCCCATCATTGTCCCAAAAACAAAAAGAGAGAAATACAACATTTTAGAATAATTTCAACGTAGCTAAGCGCGGGATAAGTTACATCAACAAGAAATTGCGTTTTTTGTCCTCTTGAATGCAAAAATACCAATAGACAAAATGCCTCTCAAAATTTCAGTGTCCCAGCATTTACCCATGTTTCCGGGATCTCAGCGAATAATTATCCACGTCCATTGCACGTGTCAAGAGTTTCCATTTCGATTTCAGCCCAAAATTATTAGCTCATGGTTTGTAGAATTTCTCATATACCCTTGGCTACTCGAACGAAAGCATCTATTGCAGTAATTTTCGCGACATCTACTGGCGGAATTTACGTACGGAGAACAAAGCGACACACGCGCACCGTAACTGCGTATATCGAAAAGGTCGACGATAGACGAGAGAAAAAATTTGCCAACGTTAGCAGTCACGGAATTGTTTCGTTAATATATCAAAACGACTGATTTTTTGACTCGCGAGTGTTAAGCTGAGTTCCAAGAAGAGCTAGTGCTAACTAACTAATTGTATCCGCGAAAGCGTATAGGTGAAATCAAGGTACAGTCTTGGCTACTCTAGGCGTATAACCTCAAAAACATTTTCTCAGTGTATCTCGTTCACACAAAATTCACACTGGTTACATACAATCAAGGAAGTTATGGAGAGCAACTGCGACGTAGCTAGGTAAAAATTATTGCGTTTTAAGTTTTTGAACGATTCCTTTGTAAACTCGATGTTCCTTAGGGTGAAGGAAGAGCCAAACGATTCTTGGACGAATGCATGTGACGATTATGTTTTCGATTCGGTGGATTCTTGCAAAGCGGAAAACTGTGAAACATTCCCAATTCACGAATCATCCGTGAGTTCAATGATTCAAATTATGTTTCGTTAATCTGCTTTTTGAAATCAGTCCATAATTTTCATTTTAGGCAGAACACGCTAATGAGACTGTGGTGTTACAGGAGAGTTTAGATGAAAAGATATTTATCGATTTTGAATGCAAAAATGTTAAAACTGAATCGACAACCAACTGCAAATCTGAGAATCAAATTTGTCAACCAATTGTAAAAGGAGAAAACAAAAATCAGACTAATAACCTGGATGAAAAAAGTCAAATAATTTTGATAAAAAAGGAACTTAATTCTGATAATAATTTTCAATCAAATGTGAGTTATCGTTCAAAACTTGCTGACTCATTGGATAAACCGTATGAATGTGAACTTTTCTGTGGACCACGTGGCTGCGGAAGAAACCCTAAAATTCATTTAAATGCGGTTAACGATCGGAGAAAAGCCCTCGAGTGTGAGATTTTTCACAAATCATTTGGATACCGAAGTAAACTCGAAGTTCTTGTCAACGCAGTCCATAATCGAAGCAAACCTTTCGAGTGTGATATTTGTCACAAGTCATTTTCAGTCAAGGAAAGCCTCAAAAAACACCTAATTGCAGTTCATAATCGTATAAAACCCTTCGAATGTAACATTTGCCACAAATCATTTGGAAACCAGTATAAACTAAAAAGGCACATAAATGGAGTACATAATCGGAGCAAACCGTTTGAATGTGAGATTTGTCACAAATCATTTGGACAAAAAGGTAACCTCAATAAACACATAAATGCAGTTCATCATCTACTTAAACTTTTTGAATGTGAGATTTGTCACAAATCATTTAGTCGACAACATAATCTCAAAGTTCATATAAATACAGTACACGATTGTAGCAAACCCGTTGAATGTGAGATTTGTCACAAATCATTTGGACAAAAATGTGATCTCAAAATGCACATTACAGTCCATAATCAGAGCAAACCCTTTGAATGTCAGATTTGTCACAAATTATTTGCATACAAGAGTAACCTCGAAAGACACATACGTGCAATGCATGATCAAAGAAAACCCTTTGAATGTGATATTTGTCTCAAATCCTTTTCATATAAGGGCAATTTCAATACACACAAACGTAAAGTACATAATCGGATCAAACCATTCTAATGTAAGATTTGAAACAAATCATTTGAATACCAGGATAAACTCAAGTTTCGTGGTAAACTCTTCGAATGCCATGTTTGCCATAATTTAATTGGATTAAAATGTGACCTGAAATCTCACAAGAACGAAGTACATGCTACAAGTATACAATTTTTCTCAAGCTTTCTAAACTTCATTGTAATGGCGGAAAACTTTTGATATAAATAATAAACACATATTTTCATTTTGAATAAAAAAAAGCACGTAGTCTTTTAATTATTCCAAACCATTATTTTTATATCATTTTCCCGTTAAATCAATGTTTTTCAATTAAAAATGATTTAATGTCCTAAAGTCAATATCATGACGCCAAGAAAAAAAGTCAGAAAAAAGTTCACAATGTTTTTGGCATTGTCAAACGTCGATTAAATTTTTTAATTAATGGGCAAATAAGATCATTCCACCGAAACTCAATAATAGCCATCGGCAAAATCACCTATTAAACGTTTATTACATGCGTAAAATGACAACATTTTCAATCATGCTCCCAGTTCAGGAATTTTTTGATATAATTCCTAATGAACGCATAAACGCTTTGTTATTCATAATATGCCCAAATGTTACCTGCATAAATATAGCAAAGGCCTGATTAACGCCAAGCAGTATAGTCGAGCGTGCTACTTGCCAAGCCGGTCAATCAGGGCGGCCAAAATATCGCTGCTACGGGTCAACTCCTCGTGTTCAACGAGCCTAAGGAAGTTTCACTGAAAAACAATAAAAAAAAATTGATAGAAATTCGAGTGACAAAAAAGAAAGAATGGGTCGCCTGAAAAGCTCACCCATACGCGTTACAGTGTGGAATTTGTTCATAGTATAGATCAATGTCACGGAGTAGCAGCAGCACTAGTCGCAGCATTATAGTGTCGAGGATACGCGCGAAAAAAAAGCCAATATAAATACCTCGACTCGAGCTTTTCTCACTTTCACCGTGCGCGCGCGCGTATTATTGTTTAACCCGGGCGTGCAGCTCGTTGAAATACAACTCGAATACTCGTTCGTTGCGCATAATGTGCGACGAAAAAAAAGAAGAAAAAGAGAGAGAGAGAGAGAGAGAGAGAGAAAAAGGCATGGTTTCGAATGAATAAAATCGACTTTCCGTTGGGGGCGGGGGTTGAAAACTTTGACACAACTACACGCGGCCGCGTCTCTAACTAGGATGTACTTTTTAGCGTGTTCATAGATGTGTGCCTATGTGTATGTATATATACAAGCTATCTAACGCAGTTTGCGCGCGCGTGGGATATCATCGTCGATTCGACATGGATTGTAGCAGCAGCAGCAGCCATGCGACGTACCAACTGCACACGACTCAGCGACGCCCTATAATATACGGTAGTATAGTACGTATACACCGGGCTCGGGGTGTATAGTTTTGTTTACTCCCGCGTGCGCGCAACGCTTTTCGCGAGGCAGTTCTCTCTCTCGTTTTGTATTTGCCCAGACACGCGTTGGATATAGCTCCATCTCTCCTCTGTAGCACAGCGAGAGAGAGAGAGAGAGAGATATTGTTTTGCGAATAAATTTTAACCCCCCGATGTTGCTGCTGCTGTTGCTACTACGGCGCGGCTGGTACTGTATATCTACTCGCGCGAGCTTTACATTGTAATGCATATACACAGAGAGAGAGAGAGAGAGAGCGAGCGAGAGAACGAGTTCGTCATTCACTGCCAGAACGCGCGCGCATAGCTGCGCATACTGCCGAGCGAAGACAGCAGTTGCTGCCTATATTATTTGCTCTGTATAGATTTTACAGCCGCGTTATAATACGCGCGCGCGCGCGCGGAGTTTCGAGGGAAAGGGAATCCGCTTTTATTCGCCACAAGTTTTAATAAACTTCCGCGCGTCTGCGGCGCGCGATGCACGCATTACGCGCCAACTGTACAACTTGATTATGTATACGTATTAAACGCGCTTATTTCCCATCGTCTCTTTTTTTTTTGGGTTTTCGAAATTTCATCCGTTCGTTAGCTCGAACTAGCGTAAGCTCGTAATAATTTCGCGGATTAACTTTGTCGAGTACGATATAATAACGCGATATGGATGTAAATTTCAGTGATACGAGTCAATATTGCGTCGGCCGCGAATTAAGCCATACACTATAATAAACCGATCGCGCGCCGTCACACGCACGCGACTATTAAGAGCGATTCAACTCTTCTTCTTCTTCCTCTATTTTTTTTTTTTTTTTTTTTTTTTTTTTTTTTTTTTTTTTTTTTTTTTTTTTTTTTTTTTTTTTTTTTTTTTTTTTTTTTTTTTTTTTTTTTTTTTTTTTTTTTTTTTTTTTTTTTTTTTTTTTTTTTTTTTTTTTTTTTTTTTTTTTTTTTTTTTTTTTTTTTTTTTTTTTTTTTTTTTTTTTTTTTTTTTTTTTTTTTTTTTTTTTTTTTTTTTTTTTTTTTTTTTTTTTTTTTTTTTTTTTTTTTTTTTTTTTTTTTTTTTTTTTTTTTTTTTTTTTTTTTTTTTTTTTTTTGCTTCTTTTTACTCCTCTCTTTTATGGGCTTGCAAAAGCGCTCCTAAAAGTCCGCCCGCGCGCTGCCACGCTGCCACGGCGGCCGCCACGGTGCTTAAATAACAGGAAGAAAAACTGCCGTCGCTCGCTCGCGCGCGCCCGTAATACTATCTACTTTTCACTTCGATAGTACGTCTTTCGCGCCCGGGTTAGGCAGGCAGGCAGGCAGGGAGGGAGAGAGGAGGGGAATCCTGCTGCCACTTTGCCGCTTCGGACTTTTATCTCCTTTATTTTTTTCGTCGTCGTCGTCGTCCTGCTGCTGCTCTACCTCCGGCATGCTCTAACTTACTTTTGTCGCATGCAAATCTAAATCTTCTGGCGTCACTGAGTCGTAGTACGGCAGCAGTAGCAGCATCAGCGGCAGCGTTTACTCGTTTTGCTTTCTCTCCCTCTCTCTGACTCGTTCACTTTTATATAAACGCGACTGACAACGACGACGATTCTGTTTTTTTCACATCGGCTTGATCACGGGGGCTATTTATTCAAATCGACCACGATTCGAGTGGGAGAGGGAGGAGTTTAATTTCGATCGTTGGTAGTTCCATCATCCTTGGGTTAGATCTATATATCCCGCTACACTATATGTATATGGTATTTTACTCTCTCTCTCTCTCTCTTTCTCTCTCGTCCCATATGCCACACGCATGCAAGATCGTTACACGGCTTGGCTTTAATGAGCCCTGCGGGTTTTACTGTATCTATCTATCTCTCTCTCTCTCTCTCTTCCTCTCTTCCTCCAGCTCTCGAATCAAGCAATATAAGGCAGCAGCAGCAGCAGTGGCGGCAGCAGCATCATCGGCCTCGTGCACAATTACGTGGCGCGCGTGCCCCGACTCGGCGAAAAGGCTACCCTCTTTTCTCTGATGCTACTGCTGCTGCGGCCCTACGTACACATACACCCTCGGCGCGCACGAGCTTTCGAGCTTTCTCTCTCTCTCGTGCCACGGCTTGCAGAAATGTCTTTCTCTCTCTCTCTCTCTCTTGTGCTCGTTTGCGTTCAAACTCGTCCTTATCGAGAGGTCCTTTCTACAACGTGTACTTCTTCTTCCTCGTCGTCGTCGACGTCGTCGTAGTCTGCGCCAGATGCTGCGCAACTAAACTCCACGCTACTGCTCTACACGGTGCTTTCGCGCGCGTGTGTGTAGGTAGGTATAGTTACCGGCGTGTTTTCCCGTCGGCCTCTCTGTCTAACTCCGTGCAAGCGTCGTTCTACAAGCGTAAATTCAATTATTGAGGCTATGTATGCGTTTGCACGTGTGTGTGTGTACGAGGAAAGCTGCTTTCGGTTTTGATGAGTTTACACAGATGTACGGCTCGCGCGCGCGCACACACACGCGTTAGTGCGCTCAACGTTCCACTGTTGCTTTTGTACGATACACACATACACGTTACACACGTTTGTAATTAATCATTACTCCGCAATGTTCAAGTATGGTCGTTGATGATTTTTTCTCACACCACTGTCTGTCGCTCTTTTTTCGATACCCACGCAGTAAGCTTAATTGTCAAACGAATTCGTCGTGTTAAGGTAAAAAATAAAAATGATCACAAGTTATATCGAGCATCGTCTACATCTATAATCCCTTGTTCGCTCGAGCTAATGCATATTATCGACACTCGACGCGATCGACTGCCCGTACTGCTTCGATTGGCGTTCGACAACTCGCGCGAAAATATAGCAATGCAACTCGGCTGCGAGTCTATATTATTTTATAAATAATCCCCGGGCCTATATCGGCTCGTGCCCACGCGATGTTATACGTTATTTCTAGAAAATACCAGGCGCGTAATCCTATATATATGTGCATCGGACGCGTGTGTCCTGGCGCGTACGCACCCGTGCATCGGCCTATTTATATAATATGTATACACGCATTGAAAATATATCGAGTCTTGCTTGTGCGCATGTGTGTATGCGAGTACACTAGCAGCCCCGGATTTCAGTTGTTCAGCATGAATTTGCCATTTGGCGATAATTGAACGGGGGCTCGCGAGCCGCCGAGCCCACGATGCACTATGCGCGGCGTGAGCCGATCGGGGACGACAACGAAAAAAAAATAAAAAAAAAATAACGGAAAAAAGTAACAATAATAAAAATAAACAAAAAAAAAAAAAGAGGATACGGCAGGGTACAAGAAGTATGCGTATGTGTATATGTATTGGAAATAACAATACACAGCGCAACGAGTCGAAATCACAAATCCATTTGAACAATGAAATCATTCGTTATATCGTCGTCGTCCTCCTCCCATGTGCGGAGTTACCCGCGTTAGAGCTGCCGATGCATATTATACATCCCTCTCTCTCACTCGCTCTGTGGCTATCCAATTACTCTTTCTCTCTCGCTCGCTGGCTCGCTCTCTTTTGCTCTCCTCCGGATGCGCGAGCCTCGCCAGAAAAAGAGGGTAGGGCGCGGTGCAGAGGGGATATACACACACGCGTATCGCTATTATATAGTGTCTATACAACGTGCTTGTATGTGTATTATACCCATGGCCCATCGTGCGGTGTAGCCAGGACGCATTCGACGCGCGGCATTATACGCACATACATTTCTAGCAAAAAAAAAAAAAAAAAAAGATGAATCGCTCGATAACAAGCGTAAACCTTTATTTTAACGTCAACACATGCGCGCGTAGGCGTACATTGCTCTA